TATAGGAACTGGCAAGCAGGAAGTGCATGCCATATGATTTTTTTAAACATAGAGTTTTAGCAAGTTCCTCCAGGATGCAAATATATCTTAATGGAGATTTGAAAGTTTGGTTAACCTTTAAAAGAAAAGAATCTATGTTAGCAGAGAAGCTACATCTGGTTGATTATATAAATTATATTAAATATCTATGTTCACTGAATTCAGATGTAGTGGAAGATCAATGCTGCACAAGAGAGCAAAAGTTGAGTTCTATCCGCTTGGAGTGATTGGGGCAATTGTTTCCTGGAACTATCCATTTCATAACATTTTTAACCCAATGCTAGCTGCAGTATTTTCAGGAAATGCTGCAGTGATTAAGGTATATAATTTCACGTAACTTGAACTTTTAGTTTTTGTTTTTTCTTGCGTATGTACACATGAAGTATTACGTATTGCATATTGTGTTATAAGTTGTTTATGTTTTTCATACATGTGTTTGGACTTGTCCATAAATTAACCTGTTTATATACTTGACTCATGAAAACTGGTGGAAGTTTTGTTTTGAACTGTAGCAAAAATGGTTTATAAACATGCTTGACTGAAGCAATTAGTATAGCCATATTTATCTTAGTTTAAATGCATGATTACAGGTTGAAGAGAAAATAGTGGTGTAAATGCAGGTTTGGGATCAGGGTTAAGGTGTTATAGGGTTTAAAGAATGAGAGTTGGGGTTTAGCTCTGGTAAGGCTTAGAATTAGGTTTGGTTTTTTATTTTGTCGTTCTGGAGTTTGAGTGAGAGACCAAGAATCAGGAGAGTTTGGGTGTGCATATTGGCTTTAAGTTTGAAACAAATTGTTTCAATGCACAATTTATGGAATTTGGTCCTCTTTTTCATCCCACAATTCTATGTTAGGACAACATTTTATGCAAACGTTTCAACATACCAGATTGTTCTAGTTCATGGAAGTGTCTTTAGCTGCAAATGGAGTTAAAGATATTTTTATTCATCCACTCTATAAGAAGCACCAAACAGGATTATCATTTGTCTCGCAAATATTGGCTTAGTTATTTGATATTATCCTGCTTTATTTATAAATGAGGTATTGTTACTTGAAACTACTCATATGCTTTTGTGTAGGTCTCAGAGCATGCTAGTTGGTCAGGATGCTTTTATTTAAGAATTATTCAAGCTGCTTTGGCTGCTGTTGGAGCCCCAGACAACCTGGTTCATGTGATAACAGGGTTTGTGTTACGGACATTCTGATTTTCATTCTATTCACTGCATTTTAGTAACTTTAATTGATTAAGGATCATTACATTGGCTTTTACTATTTTCATTGGCAGGTTTGCAGAAACAGGACAAGCTCTTGTATCGTCAGTTGACAAAATCATTTTTGTTGGATCACCTGGTGTGGGGAAAATGGTACATGTTACATGTTGACTGCTATTTTTCTCAGTGCCACATTTTATGCTTTGGACGGTCTTTATGTAGTAAAGCTAACAAATGAGCATGCACGTGTTCAGGTTACTGAGATGTTATCTGCTGTTATCTGCTTATTTTAATCATTTCATACTTTGCAGAACTGGTGTGGTGATTCAACTTTAATTTTCTCAGTTAAGGCAGATAATTTGTTCTCTTTAGTGAAGACTGGTAATAAGCAGATTCTAATTTAAGCATACACCATTATACTGTTTTACATAGAAACTTATTACAAATTCAGTCAAATATTTTGCTCTCTTCAGGATGGGCGGGGGGTTGTGTGCTTTACTGGTCTGATAATATCAATCCTTGGAAGCTAACCCCCATGGAAAGTAGATGCACATGTTTACAAGTCCCTGGAGAATCTAATATGCTGTGATAGTAAAAATGTGATCCTATACATTGCTACTGTAGAATGTTTACTCGATACTTCTCAGGCTTATTTACACTGCTATAAACTTCCAGTTCAATTTGTCATTGCCATGTTTGTGATTAATTTTTGTAAATAACAAAAATTCATAGACACGTTAATATTATTCTTATTTTTATTTTCCAACTTTCTTGTTCCAGATAATGCGGAAGGCCTCAGAGACATTGATACCTGTAACACTTGAACTTGGCGGTAAAGATGCTTTTATTGTCTGTGAGGATGTAGATGTGCCCCACGTATGTACATTATTTCTTGTACCAATTCCTTGTCTCTGCACAAATTATATATGAAGTCTCCTTATATTTAAAAATCTAGTGTAATGTTTACACTGATATGCTTTCTTACAATTTTCTTCTATATAGGTAGTTCAAATTGCAACTAGAGCTGCTCTCCAGTCTAGCGGACAAAACTGTGCTGGTGCTGAGAGGTTTTATGTTCATAAGGACGTTTATTCTACTTTTGTTGCTCAGATAGTCAAACTTGTAATCCTTATGGTACATGTTGCCTTCAGACAAGGATTTATTATATTGGCATCCTCTCCACTTACGGTACACAGATATCTTATAAAGATTAGGTGCAATCAGAATCTATCCTTTTTTCCCGCTGTTGGTAGGGAAAAAGGCTGGAAGTTACCGTTAAAAGTCATGGAAGAATTTATGTTCATGTGATTGTATCATCTTCTATACTAATAAGGTTAAAAATTACTTATGAAAGTGGTTCTATTTAATTCGAGTGGAACAATAAGGAAAGGAGTTACCCCCCCCCTTAAAGAATATATTTATTAACTGACTGCTTCATATAGGGACCCCCGTCAGCCGGAAAGTATGATATGGGTGCCATCTGTATGCAAGAACATGCTGATAAACTTCAGAATCTCGTTAATGATGCTTTGGAGAAAGGGGCAGAAATCGCTGGCAGAGGAAGCTTTGGTCATTTGGGGGAGGATGCTGTTGACCAGTTCTTTCCTCCGACTGTCTTAGTGAATGTTAATCATACTATGAAACTGATGCAAGAAGAGGTAGCTTTAGAGATTATCAGACTCCTAATAAATTTCACTATTTGCATGATCTAGATTATAGTAACTTCATGACTCCTCTGCAGGCCTTTGGACCAATTATCCCAATAATGAAATTCAGTGATGATGAAGAGGTTATAAAACTTGCAAATGACTCGAATTATGGACTTGGATGTGCTGTGTTTTCTGGCAGCCAAAAGCGAGCCATAGCGATAGCTTCCCAGTTGCATTGTGGGGTTGCGGCAATTAATGATTTTGCATCGACTTACATGTGTCAGGTAATGAGACAATGGCTCGGCTCCTTTTTCTTTTCTTTTTTGTTACTGAATGCCTTTCCAAACCAACTTATCTGTGAATTTTAAGAGACAATTAGTCACACGTAGGTAAAGCCACAAAATGAAACTTTGGTTTGGCTATGAAATTTCCTCCGAAGCGGAAGCTTAAGTTTGGTTCATGTTGCCACTGCCACAATCATAAGGATTTCTGACTAGCGTTAAAAATAGCGTTTTTTTTAAAGTTTTTGGTTGGATCCAATTAGCCATTGTCATAATAGTATGTTTTACTTTTGTGTGTTGTGACTGTGAGTACCTGAAATAACATGAATGTGACTGTGCTTTAGCTTCATTAGGAT